CCCCCACCGCTCCGCAGGAGGGAGGTCCGGGAGCTCCCCGGCGCAGCCTGGGCGTGGCCCTGGTAGCTGCTGCTTTCCCTGGCCGCCCCAGCGGGGCCGAGGCCTACGGAAGGCTGGACTCTCACTGTCTCCCACAGACATCCACCCACCATTGCCCTGCAGCCGTGCTTGCAGAACTGTACTGTTTCTCTCCCTTGCGCTTGACCTCATGCGCCCGTGGACCATCCCCTCTCACTGCCTGTGATCCTTTCTGCCTTAATCCCCAGAGGACTTGTTTTTATTTGGTGGTACTTTTAGATGGGTGCAACTCCTCCTTTTACGCCTGATCCTGAACCCTTCATAGCTGAAGTTTTGCCTCTTGGTTAGGAAAGTGCCCAAAAAGGAAAGGGCAAAGGCCTGCACAAGCACATCCCGCTGGGCTGCTGGGAGAGAGAAAGGAGAGTAGCTTCTCTGTAGCAGTGTGTGCACCTCAGCATCCTCTTGCCAGCAGTGGGTTCCTCTAACCTTGTGTTTCTGCTTTTCTTTCTCTCCTGAAGAAAGAAAAATCCAAATCAAGTAGCAGCACTACCCGAGAACCCAATGGCTTCCCTGCTGACACCTCTGCCAACTCGTCTCTCCTCTTGGAGTTTCAAGGTGAGTTTGGCTCAGCCCTCTTCAAGCTGAAGAAAGACTAAGGCCTTACAGAAGCTGGGATGTTGCTGGCTTATCTATATTTTGTGTATTGGGAAGAGCAGCATATGCCTTCAGTGCAGGGTTGTGCTGGTCCACTTCTGGACTGTCCCTGTTGAAATAGTTTATTTTTGCTGTCAGAAGGAATCTTAACTGGCTGTTTCTGGGATCTTCCTGTAGGAAGCTTCATGGGGAACTGGAAGAGTGAGGGTTCCCATTCCCACTTTGCAATCCCTGCTGGGGAGAGGCTGGTAGCTGCCTGCAGCTGAGCCCGCTGCTTCCAGCGGTGACTTGCATGGACCTTAGGATGAAAGGGCAGAGGATCTCCTTGACCTTGCTCTTGATCCCAGAGCACTGCAGCCAGCTGTGAGCAGGCTGGCCTCTGTGGTGGGGCTGAGCAAGGCTCAATCAGCGCATGGACTCGCTGCTGGAGCAGAGCATATGCCTGTCCCCAGCCTCTCCACTCAACTCCCGGTGCAGCCAAAGAAAATTGGGGAAAGTGTTGGCACTTCCAGTAGATGTGGTGAGAAGGTCAGGGTTGCAGGTCTGCAGTTTGGGAGCGCTTTACCTGGAAAAGATGTGCACCAGGATTGTCTGCCTGTCCGGAGGCAGGTGCTGAGCGTTGCTCCTGGTGTCGGGTTGCTGCCTCACAAGCAGAAGAGGTACAAAACCCTGGTACACAGCAAGAGGTCTCCTGCCCTTGAATGCCTGGGGCCCTCACAAGCTGCAGACATGAGATTTGGCAGCACAGTGCTTTGTATCGCCCCTGTGCCTTCCGCTCATTCTTTCTAAATAGCCTAGAGTCACTTTGTCTGCTGAGACTCATTCCCCAGGGAGAAGCACTCCCGTTCCAGTGGGCCAGTTGTGTATTTGCTGCCAGCTGTGTCCCAGCAGGGAGTCCTGTGCCCAGCAGCCCTTTAATGTTGGTGGGTGACAGTGAATCCCTGTACTCTCACTGCCTCTGACTGTGTTCTTCCTACTCCCTAAGATCCTGGCGCGCAGTGCCGCCCTCGGCTGCCTGTGCCCCTGGGTCAAGGTGCTCTTCTTCACTAGGTGCTGTTTCTGCAGATGAGAACAGCAACCAGAGCTCCCTGTCGGACGTCTACCAGCTCAAGGTGGACAGCAGCCCCAACTCCAGCCCCAGTCCCCAGCAGAGCGAGTCCATGAGTCCTGCCCACACGTCCGACTTCCGCACGGACGACTCGCAGCCACCCACACTGGGGCAGGAGACACTGGAAGGTGGGTGCTGGGCTGGGAAGGAGATGGACGGCTGGAGCCATTGCTTGTCCAGTGGGTGACTGAGGCACTGCTGGAAGTGGGCAGGGCAGCAGAGACTTGTGTCTTCTGCTGGAGGTCTCCTCTCCTGGCTCAGCACTGAGCTGGGTACTGCTGTGCTCCTGGGTCAGCTGTTCCATTAACCCTTCTGTTCTGTTAACCCAGAGCCCTCCCTGCCTTCCTCGGAAGTTGCAGATGAGCCTCCCACTCTCACAAAGGAAGAGCCAGTTCCCCTTGAGACTCAGGTAAGGGAAGGGGGATTGAAACCACATCTAAATGCATGTGGACCCAGTTTGTGCCTTTCACCCTTGTTTATGCCCATCGTAGCAGAAACATCTTGCCTGATGGACTTGCTCTGCCTCCAAACCTCCTGGCTTCCCAAGCCATCCCCTGGTTCAGTTCAGGTGTTGAAGTGTGAAGAAAGGATGTGGAGGTGGAGTAAAAAAACAATTCTAGCTGATTCCGGGGCTGAAGTGGATTCTTGCTCCTGGTGCCCTGGGACTTCTTCACAGATGAAAGCCCAGGGTGTCCCCACAGCATGATGCAGCTTTGTCTAGGCCTGCATGGGCACGCTGAGCTCCTGTCACTGCCTGTGACTTCTGCCTCTGGCTCTTGCAGGTAACTGAAGAGGAGGAGGACTCCGGTGCGCCGCCTCTGAAGAGATTTTGTGCCGATCAGAACTCTGTGTGCCACACGGCCTCA